TTGACAATCAATTTCACATGCTGTTGTGCAAATGGAATAGACAACAGGTAGAAAGCATAGGCAGGAAGCAAGACATCCCCAATAAAGGAGTGGTTCTGCAGGTGGTGACCACAGACCACTTCTCGGTTCCTATGCTTTCTGGCTGATGGTTTGGTCACTTTTGAATGCTGGTGGTGCTTTTACTCTAGTGGTAGCATGAGACGGAGTCTACAACTCACACAAGTGGTCAGATAGTGCAGCTCATCTAGGATGGCACATCAATGTGAGCTGTGACAAGAAGGTTTGCTGTGTCTGTCAGCGTAGTGTCCAGAGCATGGAGGCGCTACCAGGAGACAGGCCAGTACATCAGGACACATGGAGGAGGCCGTAGGAGGGCAACAACCCAGCATCAGGATCGCTACCTCCACCTTTGTGCAAGGAGGGACAGGAGGAGCACTGCCAGAGCCCTGCAAAATGACCTCCAGCGGGCCACAAATGTGCATGTGGCTGCTCAAACGGTCAGGAACAGACTCCATGAGGGTGGTATGAGGGCCTGACATCCACAGGTGGGGGTTGTGCTTACAGCCCAACACCGTGCAGGACGTTTGGCATTTGCCAGAGAACACCAAGATTGGCAAATTTGCCACTGGCACCCTATGCTCTTCACAGATGAAAGCAGGTTCACACTGAGCACATCTGACAGCCGTGACAGGGTCTGGAGACGCATGGAGAACGTTCTGCTGCCTGCAACATCCTCCAGCATGACCGGTTTGGTAGTGGGTCAGTAATGGTGTGGGGTGGCATTTCTTTAGGGGGCCGCACAGCCCTCCATGTGCTCGCCAGAGGTAGCCTGACTGCCATTAGGTACCGAGATGAGATCCTCAGACCGCTTGTGAGACCATATGCTGGTGTGGTTGGCCCTGGGTCCCTCCTAATGCACGACAACGCGAGACCTCATGTGGCTGGAGTGTGTCAGCAGTTCCTGCAAGACGAAGGCATTGATGCTATGGACTGGTCCTCCTGTTCCCCAGACCTGAATCCAATTGAGCACATCTGGGACATCATGTCTTGCTCCATCCACCAACACCACGTTGCACCACAGACTGTCCAGGAGTTGGGGGATGCTTTAGTCCAGGTGTGGGAGGAGACCATCCACCACCTCATCAGGAGCATGCCCAGGTGTAGTAGGGAGGTCATACAGGCATGTGGAGGCCACACACACTACTGAGCCTCATTTTGACTTGTTTTAAGGACATCACATCAAAGTTGGATCAGCCTATAATGTTTTATTCCACTTTTAATTTTGAGTGTAACTCCAAATCCAGACCTCCATGGGTTGCTAAATTTGATTTCCATTGATAATTTTTGTGTGATTTTGTTGTCAGCACATTCAACTATGTAATGAACAAAGTATTTAATGAGAATATTTCATTCATTCAGATCTAGGATGTCTTATTTTTGTGTGCCCTTTATTTTTTTGAGCAGGGCACATTCTAGTTTCCCATATTAAAGGGAGATAATATATATTTTAACCATTATATATAATGGTTTCCATTAACTTTTATAGTTTTATAAAGATTTTATAGTTTTTATAGATGACATGTAATTTTAATTGTTGAACATGACAACTAGTCTTTGATGCACAAGCACCATTGGGACCACAACTCCAGTCACTAAGGAATGTAATGAGTCATGGCTAATTTTACAGTTTTATTTACTGGGGTCTTTATTTGAATCATGTGATAGTTAAGCAAATCCACCTTCTTCCCCCACTTTGACTTTGTCTGTTGGAAACCCCTTGAGAATGTTTCACATGACCCTGGGATGCTGCAACCAATGTAAATACATTCTGGTTGCAAGGTGCTCAAATTGCAATCATATCACTAGAAGGACTCTGCAACCTTTGTAAATGCGAGGACCACTTGTAAGTCACTTTTTTTCAGCACATTGTAACTTATTTATTTATTAAACAAATTTATACAGCTACCCAAATCACACAGAGGCGATTCATGATTCCTTGTAAATGTGAAATATGCTGGCTGTAAATTTCATTTTTTTATTTTTTTTAAAAATAAATCTTTTGGGACTGTCTAACTACAGATGCATTAATGTATTATTTGCTGATTTCTGAACTAATTGGAAAGTACCACAATAAATGTATTTCAGATTAAGTTTTCATGTATTTTGTTGATCTAATGTATTTGAAGAGCTGTTTTGTAGTTCCACATTGTCCTAATTCCAGAAGACAGTTATGACCTAGTAATATAGTCAGTTCCTGAAGTAAGATAAATCAAGTTATAAATTATTTTACTCTACCCTCCATTAGTTGCTTAGCTAATGTTCTAACTTCACGCCACTGCTGTTTGCAAAGTCATTTTCAGCTGCAGTATGTTTTAGACAATTTACATTATCCAATAGTTTTTTTAAGCTAAATGCTTATTTTAAAAATCATCTAGTTTTCCTCCAGTAGGAGTTTAACTTCTGAATCTTACAGTGGGCTTATATTATTAAGTCCACTATAATCTATCTTTTTATTTGACTGTTTAGTCATTAATTCTAACCAAGATTTGACATTAGTTCTCTATCACTGATTTTTCTTTCAGACTGTTCAGAGAATGACTGATTATTTTCTTCCAATATAAGGATCAATTGAAAATCACCAAGAAATATCATTGTTGTAAAAGTATCCACAGTTCTGTAGAAAGTACATCATGCTCAAAGAATGCTGTTTCGATTTTGTTCCCTTTAAATACATTATGTCATATTTTTTATTTTCATATTGAGGGAGTCTTCGATCATTTTTTTAACTATGTGTAGATGTGATTGTGTGAATAATATCTATTACTTCATGGCAACAGACTGATTTAGTTCAGAAAAGAAGGCAATAGAGATAAATATATCATATTTATATAGCTGCCCATCTTAGAACAACTCAATGCAGTTTACAACCAATAAGATATAAAACACTATAAACATCATAGGAACCAGATACTCCCATAAATCATTATTTGATTAGTCTATATAGCCATGGGATTGATCACTGCAGACATGTTATTCGGGTTACCATTGTTTTGCTCCAGGTACTGACCCTGAGGGCCTAGGACCTCAAGCTAATTGTGGGTGTATTTAAAAATTTAAAATTGTTTAGCTATCTGCATTTATACACATGTGTTTTACCAACTTTCTAGTACATAATTATTAAAATAATTATGTCAGCAAATAATCCAGGAACTGTAGTCTACGTAAGGTTTCAGAACAAAACATATAAGCAATGGTTTTAAAGGTCGGCCAATACCAAGCATAGAAACTTTTTCCATATTTGATGTCCATATTTTATGCCTTTGAGAAAAAGATTAAAGAAGAAAGCATGGGATGAGCATATCAAGATTATAGGAAAGGACTCCAGAGTTCTGTGTTGTTGCCTGATTATGAGGGGGAATTATTAAAAAATGGAGACCTTGTGGATAGTGATGCAATTTGAGTATGATTGCACACGCACTGTGAACTGCTCCTGAACAACAAAGAAAGGGGAAAAATATTATTTCCTCTCGCATACAATACTAACAGAGTAATTTTTTTTCCTGTCCTTTGTATTGTTGCCATCTATTGCTTTGCAGGTTTTTCTCCTAATAAATATTCATAATACACACACACACATCACTAAGAACAGAATTTCCCCTTACTAAAACCTTCATCCCTCAAGACTTTGAAACAGAATCCACCCTATGTACACCCCCGTGTCATTCTGTTTAAATAGTCCTTTCATTCATCCAAATTGTTAGGATACCGAGCTGCTTTGGAGCACAATTAAATTTGCACTCCAGCGCTTTGAGATTGATTGTAAACCTTAATAATGTATGGGCTTAAAAATGTTCTTAGTGCTATAATCCCCAGTATTTTTGCTTCATGCTGAATAAGATATTAAATGGCCATTCAGATATGGCTATATTGCATGCCTAAGCAGTTTTGTTTCCAACCTTCTGATTTCCTTTGTCTCTTAGAAGAGAGAAAAAAGTAGAAGAAATAAACCACCACTCCTGATAATAGTACAGAATCTGTTGCTTTTCTCTGCTGCTGTTCTCATGGTTTGTTTCTTAACAAAGCTACTCTCAGCTGAATTTAAGTCAAAACTTTAATAACTGCCAACCGCAGCAGATGTAGGTGAGATGTTGAAATGAATCAGTAGCCTATGGCAGCTTACAATGGAGCTATAATTCTAGATGGTTTTGTTTTTATCCAAAAGTCTGAAGTATTTCTCAGGGGAGGGAGGATTCCACATATTCAGGATTTTTCTGCTCTCTGACCCATATTCTATCAACACAATAATGAATCTTTAAGATCACAATGATCTTAAAAGAGTTCCTGGATTGGCCATAGCATGAACTGGTTGGGATCCATGGCCGTATATATTTAAGGTGAATGTTTTTTTCCCCAATGGAAATTCCCCCCACCCCCCCTTAAATTCAAGTGTTGAGTATGAACAAAACGTAAGGAGAGATGGAAGCCTCTGGACACACCCTTCTTTGCTGCTCTTTTTATAGTGACATTTGAACAAAAATTTTTTTCCCAATAATTAATAGGTATCCTGTCCATTCCAACACTGTTTATCTTCAGTGGTTGCTGAAAGACTAGTGGATGGTAGTCACAGCTCAGGTAGCTAGATTCTATGCAGCAGCACTAAAGATTTTCCAGAACCTGTTGAATAATCCATTATTACTTTTATATAATTAATGCACTAAATCTTTTGATATCATCCCATTGTACTTTATTACCTAATAAGTATACGCCTTCACAATTTAAAGCGTAATATTACATTATAGCTTAGGCCGTGCTCTTTTTTATAACAGACAGATAGGCTGTCTGTTATAAATTATGATTTCAACATAGATTTTATTTGTTGTGTGTTGTTTTATTCTAGAACTTCTGACTAGATATTCTTTGAGCATTTTTAATTGTACCTGACTTTGTAATAAATACTTGACTGATTGATGATTGTATATTATTTTATCCTTTAAAACTAGAAAATCACAGATGGAGAGACCTCAACAGGAAATATACCCTTCAGGTCGAACAGCCAAGTGCCAATATTTGGGACTGCTTGCCTGACAAAAGTGATGAAAGCTCCTTATGGCAGAGAGAGCCAGCTAACGCATGCTCAGTAACCAACTTGATCAAGGATCTCAGCCTTAGTGACCGCAATGGCAACCCTTCAGCACCTCCCAGCAAACGTCAGTGCCGATCACTCTCTTTTTCCGATGAGATGTCTAGTTGCCGGGCTTCATGGAGGCCCATAGGATCAAAGGTCTGGACTCCTGTAGAAAAGAGACGCTGCTACAGCGGGGGTAGTGTGCAGCGTTACTCCAATGGATTCACAACCATGCAGAGAAGTTCAAGCTTTAGCCTTCCTTCCAGGTCAAGTACTCTCTCCTCATCATATGACCAGATGGGATTTAGCAATAGATTTGGGTGTCAGCCATGCCAAGGAATGCGAAAGTCAGCCACTTATGGACAAACAAGTGATATTTGGGGTAATGATCCTAGCTCTTCTGAGAGTGGCAGGATTGACATCCAGCGATCTCTCTCTTGTTCCCATGATCAAATTTCCTTTTCGGAATATTGTCTGCCCTCAGCAAATAGCACACCTGCCTCGACACCAGAGTTGACAAGGCGCTCCAATGGGCTTTCTCGAAGTCGGTCTCAACCATGTGTCCTAAATGACAAGAAAGTTGGAATTAAGCGAAGACGACCTGAAGAGGTAAAGGAACAAAGACCTTCATTGGACCTTGTCAAAATGACACAGGTAAGAATTGATTATCTCACACTACGAGGAGAATGGTCAAACCTGATATTTATAAAACAATACTAAGCGGTTTCTTTATGCATAGAGGTCTGCACTGTTTTGACACTGAGCGATAAAACTCAGAAAGCCGAATAGTTTGTTTATCTAGTTCTAGTTCTTTACCTAATTCCATATCTCCTTTCTTTGCATAGGTCAAAATTCATGGCTACTGTAATTAATATTTCCTCTAATTCCCCTGCGTTTGAAGACTATTTTCATTTTTATTCTGAACAATGTTCTTCCAAAGCTTACATTTTGAAAACTTAATTCCCTTTATAATGTAACTTTCAAATAAATTTGGCGTTTCTTACAATTCAGCCATTATTGAAATTGAGCTGTTTTCCTCTAGGAAGAAAGATATTGGCAATGTTTTTTGACCTTATATAATTAACTGTTGAAGAGGTGCTTATATAATGTGAAAACTGGAGGAAACCTCAAAGGCACTGGTGTTCACCTATTTTCTGTTTTGAATTCTCTAAACTGGGGAGTTCATTGTCTAATGAGCTTTGACTTCAGAGTCACAACATCTGTAATTTTCCACTTCGTTGTTGCTCTTCTCTTGAAGCAGCAGTACTTTCCTGTTCACTCAGGAATCCAAAGAGCTGAGCAGATAAGCGATCTGAACTATATATCAGAGGATGTGACACCCATACATTTTTACTTTCAGAACATACTTGCAAAAAAAAATAGTTTTAAAAAAGTGTGTGCTGCCTAACCGAGCTGCAAGAACTCTTAAAGTAAAGAACCCATAAAGCATGCCAAGTCCCTTTTATTATTTTATCTAATAACTAAAGTGCTATGATTCAGCAATTCTGTTATCATTAATTTTATAAACTTATGCTACTTAATAAAATATCAGCACTTCTATATAATCCAGAGATAAATCAGGCTTGAACAGTAGCTTGTGTGTTAATTTTGCTTTTGTATCAGAACTCCAATTTTGCTACTATGACATGTCTATTCTCTGGTCCCCATAGCCAGATTAATAAAACGGCCCAATTCAAACAATGTGGGCAGCAAGCTAATAACAAAATAAACCACACATACAAACATATATAACCAGGGGTGGGATTCTACCAGTTCTCACCTATTCGCTAGAACCGGTTGTTAACATCCTAAGCAGTTCGGACAACCGCTTGTTAGAAGAAATTACTGGCTTAATCCTGTAAGGAAAGCAGGAAGGAAGAAAACATTCTGGTGTTGCTTACAGAAACTGTCTCTCCGTTAACCCTTATTACATTCTTGGCAGGACTAGACTTCCTGTCTCAGAAACGTCTCTGGAATTTTTTTCCCCCTCCTTTGCTGGTACTTTGCTTGTGTGGAGTGAACATTCAAAGTTACAATGGCACTGAAAAAAGTGACTTATCACCATTTTTCACAATTACGACTGTTGCAGCATCCCCAGAGACATGAGAGGCCCGGCGAGGAGATGGGTGCCTCCAATGTGAGTGATGTTGAGTTGGCTATGCCCAGCCAGTCACATGACCACCAAGCCACTCCCATCAACTAAGCCACACCCACAGAACCGGTTGTTAAAAAATTTGAATCCCACCCCTGTAAGAGCCTATTTCTTCACCAAGGGCTCCTTTTCGTTTTTACTTTACCTGATTAAAATATCTCTTGATGGAAGGAACTATTCTCTCCTCCTTTTTTCTAGTATTTTATATATTATATATATCTTTGGCTGATTAAAAAACTTGATTTGCTTTTGTTTAAACTTTTTATTCCCTAATGAAATTTGGTAAATAAAGAGGGCAAGGAAATAACATGCATGGGTGACTTCAGGGGCAAATAATACATTAAACTGCTTTGGAATTCCTGCATGAAAATGTGTGAAATGTAATATGCTAATTACTTTTATTAGCCAATAAACTAGATAAATAGTTAAAAAAAAAGACTTGTTATACTTTAGGAATCCCAAGTTGAAATTCTACTACTTGGATTTCCCAGAAATTTTTTACTGTTTTGTACTTGCAGAAATCTTTAAAAGTATATAGTTCTTTGTGTCTATATCCAGGAATATTTGGGTATTCAAGGAAGAAGGAGCCAGAAAAGGAATCTCTAAATGAAACACATTTTTGTATTACTTAATTTTTTTTTAACCAGCTGGGCTTTAAATATATCTTGCATACATTCTGCAGAGCATCGGGGACTTTCAATTGCTTTATTGGGATAAGAAAATTAAGGGCGTCCGTAGTGAAAAGGATCTGCCTTTGTAATTGCTCTGGGATAGGAAAATGTACAATGAAACCCATGTATTACCAAGGAAGAATAAAGATAGGACAGCGATAAACTTGGATCTGCTGTTATATTTACCCCCAAGAAGATTGCTAGAACCATAAGGTAAATATTAGGATATAGATCTAATCGGCAAATTGAACTTCGATCCTAATGAAATCAGCGAGATAATTTTTAAAGGGTGTTGGTATCAAAGTAAGAACAAAAGTTTTTTTAAAAGGCACTCCAATCCCAATTATTTATTATTATTATTTAAGCGTCTCAGAATCAGTAATAATTTAAATGACTTTGTCAAGTGTCAATGTAGGTTTCTTTAAAGAAATCAGCGAACTTACCTTACTCTTCATATAGTGCACCAACAGCATTATAATTTAGCAGCTATGAGTCAGTTCATGTCCTTTGGTCATGTGTTTAAAGTCTCTCTCTCTGTTAATTAAAATGTAGTCAATGACCGGACAAGTTTAAACCTTATTCCTACCAGTTAATTGTTTTAACATTTTTACTTTATTTGCCATAGAGCTACACTATTTGATTGAGCAAACATATATAGAAAGATATAGCCATCCCTTTGTGTCCGTATTATTCTGATCATGTGCATTTCAATTAAAGCAATGGCAATAAACAATTTACGTTTCTCCTACCTTTTGCCCACATCAAAGTTAATTTTGTTGTACAAGATGCAATGACAATAAAGTAAACTTAAACTTAAAAGACTGAATGTGACAAATTTAATCATTCAGGACAAAAATACTCTCAAATAATTGACCATTCATGGTTTAAAGTTGGATAAGCCAAGTATAATGAATAGTTCCATTTATCTACTTTTAAAGCTTGGATCATAACTTGTGGATCCTTCTTATCCAAAGACTGCTATGTGCCAGTTAAATCTGTGATGATGGACATATTTTCCCAGGTTTGAATAATTTTAGCCATAATTAGCTATAATTCTTCCCGATTAAATAAGAATTCAATCTTAATTTGATTTCTATTCATGCCTGATGTAGTTTCAGGTTAAAATGTTACAATGCCCAATTGTAGACTACATTAATTGATGCAGAATAATAAATTAGTTGCCTGCAGTTTGTCATGACCTGGAGGTTTAATTCAGTAATTATTTTTACATGTAAAGCTTATTTTTACATGTAAATGTCTTATGTTGTCTTTTCTACTGTTGGAAAATTATGTCTATGTTTTAAAACACAGAGAATTTTTGCTGTCTGAATTTATTCAGGATCCAGTTAAACTTCCTGTACCAAAATTTGATAATTTGAAATAAAATTTGATAATATAATACAAGCTTTCTTGTAATTATAGACTGTAGTTTAGCTTAAGTTGTTTTAATATAAGTTTAAATTGTTTTATAAATTTAGATATTCTCTAAATTAATTTTGTGTTTCTTAATCATTATAGTGTCCTGGATAATTATAGTATCCTGGATATCAAAGTCTAAAATATTTTTATAATATTCCTTCTTTATCCTGAAAATTCAGACAGAAGAACAATCTTGTGTGCCATTGAGTATATAAAATGGCTCAATGAGAAAAGTAGCATTTTCACACTTTAAATACATTTTCTTTTAAGGGTGCCCTCAAACATCGAAGGGGTACTCGCTATATCTGACAGTGATGCAAAACAACACAATATGTTCTGCTGTACAGCAAGATTCCAACTGTGCAAAACAATACAAGGTCCAGCACTGAAGTTAATTAACCATTTCTGTTGTGTGGGTCCTTGTGTGATCTTAACCATCTGGATGAAAGAACTAAATAAATGAGTCCCAAATGGCAAGTCAGAGATCTAAAAAAGGTTTTGATAGAATATTGCAAGAAGACATTCAGGCAAAGCAAGCTTCCATGTAATTGTAATTGTGATCAGTCTTTTTCATCATATGCTGGTTTTAATGAATGCAAGAAAAGAGGGAGAAAAACCAAACCAACCCTCCCCAAAAACATATTCTCGTAATTTATTAATTATTTAGATGCCATCATTTGAGTTCAAATTAACAATGCTTGCCAGCTGTTTTGGTGTTGCTTTGTTCAAAATACCATTTCATAAATCTACCTTACAAGAAACCAGAAAACATTTCCCTCAGAAATGGGCTGCAGCCAATTAATTTTTAAAAAATAACCTCTGAAAAAGGGGGTGGCCAGAAACTTTGTGGGGAGTATTTAAATGGACTGGGACAAAAGGTTCTTGAACTTCTCATATAAATGCTAAATCTAAACGATTTCCAGCACATTTTAGAGGTATTCTGAAAAATCAGAAAGCTTTAATTCTAAATTGAATACTGAATATTCTTTAACAAATAACAATTTTTAACATTCACTCTTTACTTTAATTGACCACAATTGTTTTAGGCCTAACTAATGTAAAGAGATAGGAAAGGCTGTAGATGTTCACTTACTGAAATACAATATGGATAGGTTTTTAAAAAGTGAGAATTTATTAATCCTGATTGTCAGGTTAGGACATTTTCCCAATGGATTGCGGGATGAATTTCTAGTAGAGAATTTCTAGTAGAGATACCCCTCACCTTACGGCTGCTAATTCTGTTACTTTTCAGTGTCACGATAGTGCTGAATAGGAGTTTTCACAACTGGCCCTCAAAGTTGTGGCCATCACAACAATCCTGCAGTTATTTGATCACAATTCAGGCAATTGATGGCCACTCCCACTTAACAGTTGCAGTACACTGTGGTCACATGATTGCCATTTGCAACCTT